ACAGCGGCGCGCCAACCGCGCCGGCCAGCCGGGTCCGAGGCCGCGGGGACCCGGTCGCTGCTCGTTAATCCCGGAGCATCCCTGGGAAGTGAGTATCTTGGTTCTCAGTCTAGCGAATGAGTCAACAGAGAGGCCGGGCAACTTCGCCAGCAGCACGGCGGCCGGGGGTGCGGGGCTGGCGGGAGCGTTCGCTGGGGGGCTCGGGCTGGAGGGTGGCCTGCGCGGGGGACGGGCGGTTGCCAGAGGGTTCCAGGAAGCGGCTCGCCTGGGGGAAAAGCTCTCCGAAGCCAGGGTGGCGGTCGTGGCCGATAGTGCAGGGACGTCCCCGAGGGGTCTGCTGACGGGCGCTCCGGTGTGGTCCTTTGCTGTCGCCCCGGAGTCGGAAGGGTGAGTAAACGACAGAGGCTGGGGCTTGGGCTCGAAGATTCCGGTGGCTGGTTTGTTTGGCATTCAGCCAGGTGCGCTCCGCAAGTGGGCACTTTTCTCCACCTTCGGAGAAGGCATTCTCCCCTCGCCAGCCCTTCGCCCTGGGCAGTGGTATTCTCGGCCGGGTCCCCGCTCAGACCTGAGCCCGAGGCTCGCGGGCCGGGAGCAGTGAGTGAGAAGGGGTGGTTACTAAGCTGGCAGGATGCATCTCCTTGGTGCTGGAGGCCAGGGACGCTTGCCTTCCTGCTGAACTCTTACAGATAGGATGGTCGGTTGTGTTAGTGTACTTTAAAATCTGGGTAAGGGTTTATGGATGAGAAGATGCATTTTCTTCTTTGTAGAACTGTTTGTTTCCAACTCTTGATGTCCTGATGTGGAAGGTGAGAAATTGGGTGCAGATGAGTCAGGGATAGATAAGAGAGAGAGACAGACAGACAGAGACAGAGACAGAGAGAGAGAAGGAGGGAGGGGAAGAAAGAGAGGGACAGAAATCCACATGAAAACTTCTGCCTTAAAAGCATGTTTGTAAAAGTTGAGTTCTTTTAGAAGTTGTCCTTGCAGACTGTAACTTGGGAAAAAGAGTAGAAGCAAAGTAATAATGAAAATAACTATTGAACATTTTGATGCAATAATTACAAAACCGTTTCAATTAAGTTTGACAGTCCATTTGTTCCCTCAACTCCAGGCCATAGGTAACATAACAAAGGCAATATCTGTTAGAATAGACCAAGTGTTACTTATTTTACCATCTTAACTTAGTATTATAAATGAATGTATATACTCCTATAAATAATGAGAGCATGACCTGAATAATTCACCTAGTGTCACCATTCTTTAATGTAAGAAGAGTAAAGTGACCAGGTGTGGTGCACACCTCTAACCCCAGTGCTCAGAGGCTGAGGCAGGAGGATCAGTGGGAGTTCGAGGCCAGCCTGGGCTACATAGTTCAAGGCCAGGCTGAACTACACAGTGAGATCCTGTGTCCCGACCCCCCGCCTCGCCCGCCCCGCTGCCAAAAAAAAAAGGAAAAAAAGAAAAAGAGTAAAATGTAATGAAATTGGTCAGGTGTAAAGCAAGTGGCATGGGAAGAGAAAGCTAATCCTTCAGGCTATCTGCCTGTATTGCAACATGAACAACTTTTAACTGTTTACCAATTAGTTTCAGCAACAATTTTTATTTGCTAGTGTGCTCTGTGTCATTGCAGTGTGCAGCTGCAATGAAGCAGCATATCTCACACCCTAGGTGCATGTTTCAGGTCTCCCTTTTTAGATGACTGGGAGCAGTCTCTTGGCAGCAGGCCAACTCCTGTTGCCCTTAATAATAGCTATATGATGTGGTTGAAGAGATAGTAGTAACATTTGAACTATATTTGTAATGAATAGTAAAAGAGTGATTAAAAAAAACAGGAAAACAAACTGATATCTTTGGTGTTCTCCACCAGGGTTCATTTTAGCAATTGTCAACTTAATACACATACACCTTTCTTTCAGCCATTGTGGAAAACGCTTAATATTCTTATAACAGCCAGAATAACAAAGCCCAGAATTGCTCTAGCCATATCCTTAGACAGCTTTTAAAGATTATCTGGCTTGACTAGAAGATAGTTTCCTGAGAACTCTGATTCAGAGCTAGTCTTTTATTACAGAAAGTTCTTAAAAATTATGGGGTTTAAACCTTGTTTTCACTTTGCAATAAATTTATACAGCTTCCCTATGGTCAGTTTAGGAATAAAGGACAACAATAATAACTATCACTAATATCTACATAGCACATTACAGCATATAAATGTTCTCAATAACCTCATAACTTCCACTAATTTACTGGATAATAAGTAAGGAAATTTTATTTACAAATTTTTGTGGCATCAGAGTTTTCAGGGAAATAGTGTCAGATTTTGCAAACTAATGTAGGAAAATATGTATTTAGCAATTGCTTATGCAAGGTACTGTGCTAGATGTGAGATCAGTCTGACTTGGTACTTTACCCTAAAGACCTAGCACTCTGGCCAGGGAGCTAAGATTTGCCTGTAAGTGACTGCACAAGGTAGATGGTGACAGATAAGGGCAGAAGTTTTAACAGAATCTGCAAAAGTTTTATAGAAGAGAAGGCATTTGAACAGAGCTCTATAAGTTGCATAGAGTGGGGAAGTCTTAAGTGTGTGGGTGATGTGGGGTAGAGGGACAGTTCAGCAGCAGGGCCAACATCATAGTACGGGCATTTTAAAGTGGCCTGCTAGTTGCTATGAAGTGTATATATCTGCTGAAGTTTTTAATAAGCCAAAACAAACATGAAATAGCCCGATAGCAAAGCCCTCCTCAGAGACAACTTAGGCCAGGCAAAAGGTGCACTTTTATAGTAAACTTACATAGGTAATTGGCGAATTATCCACCAAAGAAATCTACTGTTGGTGGCAAGTTGAAGCTAAAGAGAAATGAGCAGTGGCTGTAAGTAGTGTGGCAGTATGTACCTTTGTAAAGGAGCAATTTGCTGATGATATTAAAAATTATGGGATGAGAGATGTTCCTTATAGCATGATTTATATGCAAAGTAATCCAGAGGTCTGACTATGGAGAAGTGGCTAAGTTTTGATATAGATCTTTAAGGTAATGTTGTGGCTTTTTAATTTTTTAACATAAGACATATAATGTAGTGTGTGTGTGTGTCTGTGTCTGCATTAACCTGCAGGGCCTCACACATGTTAGGCAAACACTACCATGGAACTATACCCCCAGTCCTATAACATGACTTTCTTTTTAAAGGAGGATACAGTACCTTGCAATATTACACAGTTTGTACAAGGACAAATGACTACAAAGATAATGCCTCATTTGGCTTCTTATATGTTGAATTCTTCTTGTGCTAAGTGCTAGGAATACAGTGGGGAACGGAAATAGAATTGGTATTTTTATGGAGTTTGTGGGGTGGTGATAGGGATGGTTGTGAATCAGATAATCACACAAACAAATGCAGAACTGTTCAATTTCATGCATGCTGTTGAGTAAAAAAAAAAAGAATGCAATGCTGAATAGTGAATTGTGGTGGGGCCATGAGATACAGTGAAGGTTTTCCTGCGGCAGTGATGTTTGAGGTGAGATGTGCAGGGCGCATAGGTACCAGCTAGCTGAAAGGAGGGAAGAGAGTATTACTGCCAGGGGAAATAGAATGCACTAAGCCCCTGTGGCTGGAGAGGGTGTGGAAGTGAAAGAGAGTATGGCTGAGCATTTGTAGATGTGAGTGATAGGATAGTGCAAGGCAAGAAGCTTTACTTTTTTTACTTTCCTTCTGACCATGTAGTGCTTTTGTTGTAAGCAGTCATTTAAAATATAAGATACTGTATATGCAGGTGGCCATTATTTTAGTCTGTTGTAGATCTAATCATGCATAGGTGTGCAGTAAGGAAATAAGATTCATTTGGTTTTGGAATCAGAGGAGGACTAATGTATTGTTTATAAGCTAGAGTTATAGAGCACTTTTACTATAGTAAGCTTAGACAATTATTATAGCTGGGCAGTTTATAGCTCAGTACTGAAAACAGTCGAAACACCAGGCCCTGCAGGCAGTCTACACTAGATGTACTGGTAACCTATTTCAAGCATTATATTTGTTACGAAGAAGTTGCAATTATTAGGTAGTTCTTAAAGATGTATTTTTAGAGCCCATAATAATTATTTAATTTAATTTTGGGTTCTGGGGATAGAGCCAAAGGCCTCATGGATGCTAGACAAATGCTGTACTACTGAGCTACACGCCCAGTACCATCATAATTATTTTAAATAAATTTCCTACAGAGAACAAAATGCAAGTGCTAAGAAGATTTTCTTATTTTTATTTGTAGGTTACAGGAGGTTCCAGTGGCATTGGAAAGTGCATTGCTATTGAGTGCTATAAACAAGGGGCATTTATTACTCTGGTTGCACGAAATGAGGTAAGTCTTCTAGGTTTGTTATTACTGATGTACTTACTGAACTGTATTCGAAGAGGCTGGACTAAATGTCTTGGTTTGCACCTGTACTGGAAATTGCTTACTTCCCTGATTTGGGGTGTGATTCCTAAACTACCATTTCTTTCTTGTTGGAATTCTCTGTTGATAACCTTACGAAGTCTGTATTTAGTGCTATTAATCTATCAGGCAGTACCATCAGTGACATTGTAGCTTTTGAGATAGGAGAGGATAAGAGGTGGTTAAATAATACACCTGGCCATGGGAAGCCAGATGTGCTGGCAGCAGTGATTCTGAAGCTGCTTTCTAAAAGTGTTTCTTATTCTGGAGCTGATACCTGGAGCTGTGTAGGTGTATGCCTACAGTTATTCTTTGCAAATTGCTTGTGATACCTTATACCTGTGTAGCGAAATCTGTGTAGCACAGAGGAATCCTGTCCCTCCTGACGTGTTGAGTAAAACTCATTGTTCTGCGTAAAGTCCATGCAGGGTCTGTTTTTCCTTTTTGGCTGGATCTGTATTTCTTGCCAGACTTGTTTTCAGAGCACAAAGCAGCGGCACTGTGTGCACTTGAGTAGTCATGAGGTACTCTTGTCCCGTATAAGGGCCAGGGGCAATGCCCATGGCTATTGTCCCCTGCTGTTGCATAGAGTGCATAGTGCTCCAGGCTTTTCTTCTGTTGAAAGAAGAAATGAAGGAAGGAACGATGGAGAGAAGGAGTGCCAAACGGTATTATGGTGTGGGAATTGACTCCCTAGGTAAGCTGTGTGCAGGAGAACAGAGGCCATGTCCCGGTGAGCCTCAGGGGGAAAATGTTTAAGTAAGGACCTAGAATTAGTCTTGGACATCCATAATTTCTCTCAAAAACAGGAAAAGCAAAGTTAGTTTACTTGTCTTTTACATATATCTTGACTCTTCTAGCAGTGACTTTATCTTGGTAGTAAAGCCGTGGACAAAAACATAACTTTCATAAAATGACATTTTGTATGTTTTTAACAATGCTAGTATTTGACAGAAGACACATGACAGAGTAGGTAAGAGCAGCCAGAATTACAGGTGTCAGGAAGTCACGCTGAGGTCCAGACATTACTATACGTAACGTAATTCAATGCACAGAACAGCCTTCTGGCACCAAGAACTTGTTTAGTTTCTAATATTAGTTTTCATCCCAATCTTGGCAAAATGATGCCAGATGTAAATATAGATATGGGCAGATATGGATGTAGATATATAGATATAGGTTTTTTAATAGAACAATATTATTTTATTATAGACACATTCATATTTGGAAATCTCTCATATCCTTTGGCAGAATTCTCCTCCCCTTTTGTTCTTCTCTAGTTCTTATGGTTATTTTTCTAGTTCTCTAGTTACTTTTGTGGCAGATGAAGATTTTGTAAAATGATGTCTGTTTTCTTGAAAGTAAACAAAATAAAATTTACATTTGGGAATTATATAGGTAGGTTTACTGGTCTTAACAATATTTTTGAAAGTAGCCAGGTGTAGGTTTATCCAACCCATGTAAAAAAATAATTTTTTTGCTTTTATAGTAGAGGAGGAAAATACTGGACACCTTACAAAATCACTTGTGTGGGATCACATGTGCTTTCAGCTTTGTGAAGCACTGTGTAGCAGTCTGACTGCTCTTGTTATATCACTGCTAAATAACATCCTATCAAAGCATTGATTAGAGTTGATAGAGTGACCATCATAGTTGATACCGTTAATTGGGACTTTGAGGTTCACTTATTTTTTCTATTATCTTTCTCTGCAATGAATTTAAAAACTTACTGTCACTTATTCATAGCTTAATATATTTTACTTCTTTTATGAACTGTGGCCCATGGCTACTCTGTATGGATGCTGTTTGTATGTTTATAGAATTTAATAAGTATTTATATAAATAATTTTTTTTCCTTTCATTTTCAGCAAATAAGCAGACAGGCATATGACAATCACCAAATCTCATTGTTTTGTGTTGCTTTCAGGAGAAGCTGCTTCAGGCCAAGAAAGAAATTGAAAAATACTCTATTAATGACAAACAGGTAAAGTACTGTCTTCAGGATGGATTTTTCGGTACTAAGGAGCACTGTAATAGAAAGAAAAGAAGGCTTACTTTAGCTGTGCCTAGGTCAGTGAAATCATATATAGTTTTTCTGATTAAATTACATGTTATTTTTGTTTTTTTGTTTTTTTTTTTTTATCTTTTTGAGACAGGGTCTTGCTGTGAAGTTCAGGCTCGCCTTGAGCTCACTTTGTAGCCCAGGCTGGTCTTGAACTCGCAATGATCCTCCTGCCTCAGCCTCCCGAGTGCTGGGATTACAGGTGTGTGCCACCACGCCTGGCCTCATGTTAGATTTTTTTAAAAGATGAAATTGTTTGAAATGGCAAGAAATTCAGGCTGTTAACAAAAATGTGTAGTTTCACACACATCAACCATTAGTCAAATAACTATTGCTAGAAAATGATTTCATTTCAGTTACTTAAATAAAATCTACACAGTGCTTAAGAGGAAAGGATCTTTAAGAATTTGTTGTGGTTGTAGAGTTTTTTGGTTAACTAAAATGGCATGTAACATATGGTTTAGTATGAAACATAGTGACAGATTAACACCTGTCACTACACACCCATCACTGCAATTAAAGAAGTAGAGTTTAGGTTACAAAACTGTCCATTTCTTTTTTTTTTTTTTTTTTTTTTGGTTTTTCTCTGGTACTGGAAACCGAACTCACGACCTTGCGCTTGCCAGGCAGGCGCTTTGCCGCTGAGCTAAATCCCCAGCAAAACTGTCCATTTCATTGTCCATTTTTATTTTCAAAAATACATTAATGAATAGATACATCAATAAATTGTATAGAATGGTGTTCATTTAACTGTTTTAATGTCTTTGAGAATGAATGCTGAGCACATTTTTCTTTTTTTTTACTTGTGCCATTATGTTTCTAAATACAAGAAATTCAGAATTGCTATAAGAATATGAGATGATAGATACATTAACTAGTTTGATTGTAATAATCATTTCACAGTGTAATATACCTCAAAACATGAGGTCGTATACCTTAAATATGTATGATATTGTAACTTAATTTTACATAATTTAATTTCACTTAATTTTAAAAAGTTAAATGAGATAATCCATTTTAAAAAGTACACACTGGGAGTATGGCTCTTATGGTATAAAATATGTTAAAATATCTTCTTAATATGTTTTACACATGTAAAAACATGAACACATGTAAAATGAGAGTGTTTTGATATATTGGGTTATATTAACATATTTATTTTCCAAAAAATTTGAATTTGCCAAGGTTTTTGAAGTTTGTGAAGCTGTTCCATACCAGCCTCTCATTCCTTGAAGCCTGATTTTTTTATTGAATCCTGCTTTGCTTTTTTTATTGAAAACCTGATTTTTTTATTGAATCCTTTGCTCTTCTTTAAAATTTTACTATCTATGGTAAAATGTGAATGACTAGTAATTTTTTCAGTCGTTTCTTTCTGAATTTGATGGCATTATTATTTTTGAAATCAGCTTTATTGAGATGTAATTCATATACCCTATAATTGCCCTGTTTTCTTTCTTCCTTTTCCTTTTCCTTTTCCTTCTCTTTCCTTCCCTCCCCTTCCCTCCCCTCTTCCCTCCCTCTCTCTCTGTCTTTCTCTCTCTCTCTCTCTGTCTCTCTCTCTTTCATCTTGTGCTGGGGATTGAACTCTCAGCTTCATGAATGTTGGGAAACACTCTACCAGTGAACTACCCCCCAGTCCTTTTTTATTTATTTTGGGACAGTCTGACTAAGCTGCTCCGTCTGCATGTGCTTGTGCATGTGCATGTTCAGTCCCCCTGCTTCAGCCTCCCTAGCATGGCATGCAGGTGTGCACTACCATACCCAGCACAACCGCTCTATTTAAAGTATGCAATCCATTGTTTTTTATTATAGTCACAAAGTTACCACCCATCACTACAGTTTATTTGATTGATTGATTGATTGATTGTCTTTTTGAGACAGGGTCTCACTCTGCAGTTCAGGCTGGCCTTGAGCTCACTTTGTAGCCCAGGCTGGTCTTGAACTTGAAACTATCCTCCTGCCTCAGCCTCCCGAGTGCTGGGATTACAGGCGTGCGCCATAATGCCTGGCTACAGTTAATTTTAAAATGTTTCTGTCACACTATAAATAATCTCTGGGCTGGGGAACAGCCTGGCAAGTGCAAGGCCCTGAGTTCAATTCCTGATATGAAAAAAAGAAAAAGGAATCTCTCTGTCTCGATTAGCAGTCACTTCCCATTCTTGTTCCAGCCCCAGGCAAGCACTACTCTACTTCTGTCTATGTAGATTTATCCAGTAGTATGCTTTGTACATTCTTGTGCCACTCTATTTCTTCCTTTGATCCTATTTTAAAAATTCATGTGTGTCACTCCATAAAGTAGGAAGGAGTTCATTTAACTGTCTGTTACATAGAACTCAGTTTTATGTCTCAACTACCTTTTGTTCATCAGTTCTACTGTTGGTGGATATTCAAGTTGTATCCAGGGTTTTTTGTTGTTAGTTTCAGGTTTTACTTTTTACTTCAGAAGTTTTTCACTGTGTCTCTGTGAACATGTACAAGAATGGTACTTACATAGAAACGGCATTGCTGAGTTGTAGTGTGTGTGGACATGGGTTTCAACCTCTCCAGCCCCGTGTTATACCCTCTGGACTGATAGTGGCTTATGTTGCACCACATCTTTGTCAACACTTTACTAGCAGACTTTTAATTTTTGCCTTTCTGGTAGATTTTAAATATTTGCCTCCCCTCAGGTATATTGGAGATCTCTCCATGTCAGTAAAAAAAATCTGCCTCATTTACTTCAGAGTTTGTTTAATAATTTCCTGTTGAGATATTCCCACTCTTTCCTTTTTTTTTTTTTTTTTTTTTTTGGTCTTTTTGAGAGAGGATCTTGCTATGTAGTTCAGGCTGATCTTGAGCTCACTTTGTAGCAATGATCCTGGATCCTCCTGCCTCAGCCTCCCGAGTGCTGAGATGATTGGTGTGTACCACCACGCCCAGCTCCACCCTTTTTTTTTTTGTTTTGCTTCTGCAATCTGTGCTGCAAAATTCCTTGTCCACATCCGCTTGCACACATATTTCTCTAGACTGTGGCCTGTGGTTCTACCCACGTTTCTGCAGACCCCAGACAGCAGAAGAACCCCAGCTCTGCAAATCACTGCATTTTTCCCATATTCATGCAATTTGTGATAGATGGAAAAAATGGTATAAAATTGTGGAGCTTGTGTACTTGTGCTTGGAGGCCAGCACTATTCATCTGCCCAAGGATTTAGGTTATGTGGAATGTTTGTGGTCCATACAGCAAGAACAGGTCTAGGATCAGGGCTTGGGCGGCTGGGGTGAACTTGATACTTCTGCCCAGCCTGGGCTTGTTGCCACCCCCTGAGGGGAGCAGTGCCGTGGGAGATTGCTGTCCCAGTGATTTTTTAATGTTTTTGTTTTCTTTTTTTTAGTTTTACTTCTTTTATATAATATTTATTTAGTGTTAGCAATCTAATACTTTGTGAAAAGCATGAAAGGACTTATTTTATAATTATCTCTGTAATTCCTACCCCATTTAAAAAATGTTTTCATGTAATGCTGTTGGAATAAAATCCAGTGTGGATATCTTATAGCCCAGAGCAAGCCTTCTAGTCTAGAATGTTATGGGTTATGTTTATGAAAGAGACTGTTTCCTTTTCTTAGAAATTTAAATACCTTGACTAGGATTCCTTTTTGCATTAAGTAAAATTTCCCATTTCCATCTTTTGTATCAAATCCTAAAGCAGTGAACCTTTCTTTCTCTCCTTGCCTCTCTTTTTGTCTTTTCTTCGCCCCCCCCCCGCTCCTCCTCCCCTCCCCCCTCTCTGTGTCAGTAATGGATTCTGTGTTGCCCAGGCTGGCTATAAACTCCTGGGTGCAAGCAGTCTTCCTGCCTCAGTTTCTTAAGTAGCTGGAGCTATGGGCTTGCACCACCACACTTGGCTTATTTTTATTCAGCAATTTATTGTGGCTTTTTAGAGCTAGGAAGAATGTTGATAATCCCAGGCTTTCTGACACCCTTATTTATAGGGGTGGCCACTGCACCCTTCTTAGGTTCTGCTCAGCTAGTGAGTGAGGACACGGGTTTGGGGCCCAGGTCTGATGGTTGGTTTTTCATCACTGTGATAAAACATCTGAGGTACCAACTTGTTAGGAGGAAAGGTTTATTTGGGCTCCTGGTTTCCTGAGACTTTAGTCCATGGCCCTTGGCCCTGTTGCTTTTGGGCCTGTGGTGAGGCAGCACATCAGAATGGGGAACACATGGTGGAACAAAGCTGCTCTGTCATGGTGATTGAGAAGCAAAGGAAGAGGTAGGAAGGGGCTGGGGCCTGATACTACTTTCAGGGGCTCACTCCCAAAGGATCTACTTCCTTTTACAAGGACTACCTCCTAAAGGTTCTACCAGGCTGGGAACCAAGCCTTTTGTACTTGGGCCTTTGGGAGACCCAGTCATAGCCCCAGGCTTCTCAAATACCTGCTTGTTCTTTCTACCACCTACTCCACGCTGCCTTGGACTCAGCCTCTTACAGTGTATATTATTTCTTGTGGATGTGCCTCTTATCAACTGCATTATCAGCAGATTTCAATCACTGCAATCTTTGCATTCAAAATTTACCTCCTTAGTAGAGTGTGATCATACATTCCTGTAATCCCAGCAAGGTGGGAGGCCGAGGTAGGAGGATCAGAAGGTCTAGGCCAGACTGGGCAATAATAAAAAATTGAGCTGAGGAAGTAGGTCAGGGTAGAGCCCCTAGGTTTGACTCTCAGTATTGAAAAAAAAAAGTGGCCTTCTTTAGTGGAAAGAATTGTTTTTAATTTAAAAAAAAATAGTTTCAACATATTCAGATCATATTTCTTTTCTTTTTAACAGGTAGTGCTTTGTATCTCAGTTGATGTATCTGAAGACTATAACCAAGTAGAGAATGTCATAAAACAAGTAAGAGATTGGACTGATTGGGCTTAATACATTTGACTTGATTTGTTCTTATCATTTTGCCTTGTGGCTTAGAATTGATCAATGTTCTCTATAGGTTTTGTGGTTTGTAAGTTTTATTTTATCAACCTGGATTTACTGCTCAGTTTCTTCTGTCTTCTAGTACCTGCTCTGATCCATTTTTCTAGGCACAGGAGAAACTGGGTCCAGTGGACATGCTCGTCAACTGTGCAGGGCTGGCACTGGCAGGAAAATTTGAAGATCTTGAAGTTAGTACTTTTGAAGTAAGTAAAAATGTTTGCTCATTGGGCTAGCCTGTGTACGAAAAGTAGAACAATATTTGAGTAAAGCCTTTAAGAATGAGATAGATGAATGTATTTGGGTGTTCACAGAAGCTTGAGAAGACAAGAGGAAGGTTGACTAGTCTTTGTTCCCAGGGCCACAACCATCCAACTGTCAGCACATGTATCTGTGAACCTCATCTGTAAAATGAAAAACAAAACAATTCAAGTGGTACTGATTACTACAGCAATCACTGAGCCCTCCTCTTTGGGACTGCACTTTGTAAACCAAGAGAAGTTGGATGTTCATGTCAAGTATCAGTATTATTTTTTTAATATATATTTTTTTTTCATCAGGCATGCTAGATAAGTACTCTACCACTGAGCTAAATCCCCAGCCCTTTTAAAAAATCATTTTGAGCCAAGATCTCATTAAATTGGCAAAGCTGGTCTCAAATTTGCGATCTTTGTCCCTCAGCTTCCTGAGTAGCTGAGATTACATGATCCATTACATGTGGAGTGGATTGGTATTATTAACAGTGAGAGATCAAAAAAGTTGAAGAACATCCTTTATAGAATTCTTAATCATGATAAGACTATGCATCTTACATTTTAAAGATTTTTACCAAGGAATGAACCTCTTAGTAATTTACTTCAACACCAACGAAATGGACATTAGACCTGAAATCTTTTTTAAGTGCAAAATGTTTTATAGTTGGCAGTACCTCAGCCCATCCATCTGTTACTGTTCTGTTAGGCCTTTATGAAGGTAATGGGTTTTGAATGCTTGTTTCTGAATTTGAATCATGTTCCCCTTTTGTAGAAAAGGAGACCTCTGACCCAGTATTGCAGTACTGTCTTCTATTAGGCCATGGGAAAGCACTGTAAATTCTGGGATTTACTGAAGGAGAGCAGGAGAGTCAAGGTGTAGATAAAAGCAGAGTGGTGGGATGTGAGTGTCTTAAGGCTTCTTTATCAACTCAGCAGAATAGAGTTGTCTAGACTTGTATGCCTTCATCTGGAAGGAATGGAAAGGAGATTGAAAGATTGTATGAGCAGCTGTGTAAAGAATCAGTTTGGGGAAATAGTTGTGCAAGTCTATGAATGAAGTGATAAAGCAAAAGATTTGGGAGGTAGGGAAAGAGGGACTAGGTGTGCATGTGTATGTGGTGTAAAGTTTGTGTGTGCATGTGTAAGATGATGTGGAATGAGCATCTTCAGGTTCAACTTGACTGAACAAGGAGCAAAGAGTGGGTTGAGAAATGAGTAGTTTGCATGGCTGAGATAAATAAATGCAGAGTTCAGAGGGTGGGACCCCAGAAAGTAGGGTGTGTGGATCTGGGCAGCAGGAGTGGGGATTGTGTTACACTGTATGTCTCGTGGCAGTTCCAAGGCAACGCAGTGAATGTTCAGTGGAGGTGGATGTTGTAAAGAAAAATAGAAGAAACTTAGGTGTATAATACCAGGTGTATGTTTGTAGGTATCAATGGCAAGGGAAAATGTGAAGCGTGTGTTGTTCAGCTCATTGCTGGAGGACCCACATACCTCCACTGGGAAATGGATCCTGGAAACTTATACCTGGCTTCTTCTGGACTCTGCCCCATGTTGTCTTTTCCTTTTACTGATCTTGTTCATATCTTTGCCCTGTAATAAATCTTAGCCATGCCTGAGAGTTTATGTTGAGGACTTTGAGACTTAGTAAATCGCAAAGCCTGGGGAAGTTCATTTTCCTTTCTAAGTGGTTTGCGTGGTTTCTTAGTTTTCTTACTTTCTTAGTTTCTTAGGTTTCTTAGATGTGTCCCTCTGAAGCCTGTAGGTACTGAGTGTTATTTAAATTTTCTTTTGTCCTCTTATTGTCTCTGCTTTTGAGGCTGGCACCTCTGTGTTTTAGGTTAGAGGCTTTGCTTGATGTATGGCAAGCCGTGGTTATATTTGTACTTTAAGAGCGAGGCACTAAAGAGCTGGTGGCATTCTTTGCAGTGGGTAGAGCTGTTTGGTTATGGGCTGTCTATAAGGTGACAGTTGGGGACATATTTTGGGGGATATCTCAGTGTCAGTATCTGTAGTTCTTTTCTCTTAGGTTGACCAAAAGACCTGGAGAGAAGTTCTTGCCTCCTGCCTAGAAAACATGTGCCTGATGGCAGTGTCAGAAGAGTGAGATTGGCAAAGAGAGTTGGAATCTCCATGTTCAGTGTCTAGGCCGTTTCTCGTTAAACCTTTTTTTGCTTTACCTAGACTGATCTTCAGAACAGAACTGCCAGACTGGAGAGGGACCCATATCTACTTTGTAAAGAAAGGAAAGGCCTTTAGGAAATGACTGCTTTGGTTTTTTGTTTTGGTTTGGTTTTGGTCATTGTTCTACATCATTTTTTCTTAGATCAAGGTAAAATTTATGGAAAATTAGCCATTTTGTTTTTATTTCTGTCCTTTTTGTTTGTTGTTTATTTTGAGACAGGGTGTTACAAAGGTGCCCAAGCTGGTAATCCTCCTGCACCAGTACTCTGAGTGCTGGGATTATAAGCACGTGCCACCACACCCAGAAGAAATAGCAATTTTAAAGGGACAGTTCAGAGGCATTAGCACATTGACAGTGTTGTGTAAGTACCACTTCTATCTCGTTCCAAAGCATTTTCATCACTCCAAAAGGAAAGTCTACACGTATTAAGCAGTTGCTCCCCATTCTGTCCTGGGACTGCTATTGTAGCCCCTGACCACCACTGTTCTGTGTCCCAAATCTTTGGGTATTACCAATAAATGGCATCATCTGATATGTGCCCTTTGATGTTCGTTCCTGTTGTTCCATGGATCAGTACCATTCCTTTTCATAGGTTAGTACCACTCTAATTGTGTGGATAATCCCACATGGTGTTTATCTAGTCATTGTGGATGGACATTAGGCTGTCTCTGCCTGACTGCCGTGTACACAGACTTGTAGTGCAAACTCCTGTCTTTCAGTACTGTGCCTCCCACCCCTAACCCTGCCACCCCAGATGCTTGGTGCTGTTTGAACCCTTTGTGGTATAATCTTGCTTTTTAATTTCCTTGGTCTCACTTAGCATTCAATTTTCTGTGTTCTACCAAGCTAAGTATCATGTCATTCTGTTTTTCAACTTACAGAATGTTGTTGCTGTTATTTTCATTTCTGTTTTCTTTATTCTTGTGTGTTTATCCCTTTCAAAAAAACTTCTTCACTGAGCTTTAATGGGGTCTTGACCAGAGCTGAGATAGACAGTGTGCCATCTTCAGAAACTTTCCTTTTTCACATTTTTCTCATCAAAACTATATAAGGATATTAAAATATATTTTGGGAAAAAGTGGGAATACTAACGTTAGCTAAACAGTGATGACCCAGTAAAAGAACAAAGCCAGCCACAATTTAGGGGTTTTGAGTGAGACCTTTTGGAGTAACTCTAAGGGAGAATATGAGTAGCTTGTTAAGCTGGGTTTTTATGGATAAGGTTTGTGGGATGGGAGAGCATAGGATGGGTGAAGTGAGACTCACTGAGCAGCAGTTGTTGTAGTTGCTGGTGTTTTGTTGTGCAGTGTGTGCCATGGCCTAGTAGCGCAGGTGGGGAGGCAGCAGGATGTGGAAGTATTGCTTTTTGGGGCTCAGGTGGCTGGGAATGTCCACCCCAAGAACTCAGGCAGCTGAGGGCAACTGGGGGTCAGACGTATCCACCAACATCTTAAACAATCACAATTTTCTATATTTCGTGAATTCTGTACTTGTATATGTGGGCTTTTATTTAATAGTTAAAATAGTTACACTCACAGTCTAAATTTCACCTGCCCTCTTTTTAAAACCTCCAAATGTAAATAGTTTTCTGTGTCACTCCTGGTGTTCTTGGTCATCATTTTCAAAAGTTACTTATTTTATATGGATTTAACATATAATGGACTTAGATCTCCAATTAGAGTGTTGAGATTTTACATTATGATAGAGCTAATATTTTTATGAGACTTTTAATGTAGAAACACTTAAATGCAGGCATTCTTAGAGTCTCATGTTCAAAAACTTAAGGTTTTAATGTTTTTTAAGAGTTGGTAGGTTGAGAACATATATTATTAGTGCCTGTGTAAGGTCTTACAATAATACAGTGGTCCTTTGGTTCATGAACACTTTTGTTTGTGATTAATTTGGTTCACAAACAGAAATTGGGGCAAAATTTTGTTTTTGTTTGCAAATTCTGCATTGGGTAACAAGAACAGCAAAGGCCAGAACATGAACATTGCCATCTTTTCCAGAATCGTGAAACAAATAAGTTCATGAACCAAGGCACCAAGGTATAAGACTCAAATGTACTGAGTGCTTTGTGTGGTATGCTAGCACTTACCGTGTACTTTCTCTTTTGCTTCTTACAGTAATATCCTGAGGTCATTCCATGATTATCTTGGTTTTCAGGTGAAAAAATGAGTAGTGTCTGACTTTCTGATTCATCATTGAATAGGTAGCATATGGCAGAGCCAAAGCTTAGAACCAAAGGGCTGGAAATATTTTGGAAACTCTTTCCTAAAACTGTCTTTCAAAAGGATTACTGGCAACATGCAGTACTCTTTTTATAGGGAGAAAACTAATTTTGAGTAGTTTTCAGCACAGATACTACTGCTGTCATAGTGAGAATTTAAGACTGGATTGAAATAGGCTGCAAGTGGTAGGCTTTGAGCATCCTGCTGTATTATATGTGGCCTCATTTACTCTTCATTCATTCAACAAATCTGTTGAGTACTCTAATCACTGGGACTTCTTTGAAGAATTTAAATTTGAAAAGCAGACAGAATTCTCATTGAGTGAGCCTTTAAGCTTTTGACCTTGTTCCAACCTCATGTGGTTTCTTTGTTCTCTGCAGAAATTAATGAACATCAATTACCTGGGCAGTGTATACCCCAGCAGAGCAGTAATCACCACCATGATGGAGCGCCGGGTGGGCAGGATTGTGTTTGTGTCCTCCCAGGCGGGACAGTTGGGGTTATTTGGATACACGGCCTACTCTTCATCCAAGTTTGCCATAAGGGGATTGGCAGAAGCTTTGCAGATGGAGGTAAAAATTGGATTCGTGTTTGTGTGTTTTCCTTTTAACTCAGTAGTGTGTGAGCTTTTTAATTTTCTAACTTCTTAACATGTTATTGCATTAAATTAGATGTGTAGATTTGACATTAATGAAAGAGAATTGGCTAAGCCCAGATTTCGCATTTAACAATTTCTACTGAGTGAGAATTACACTTATGACAAAAACAGCATGGTTATGGGGGTTTACCTAATTAATACATAAAGTGCAAGTAATACCTTCATGATATTGTTGGTCTGGTACTCTGTGTGTATAAGGTTAACCAGATACTTTATCTGTAGAGATCTTCTTTTAACAGAAAGACCTGCCCTTAAAAAAAAAAAAAAAAAAAAAAAAAGGAAGAGCTAGAAAGGGATATTCTAGCTATTAGAGAAATGCTTTTTGTTCTCAATTCCCTCATCTGTACAGTGAGAGCTGGAATAAAAGTATCATTTGGCTCTCTCAATACTTATGTTTTCATATCTTAAAGAAACGTTTAAGAAAGTGAATGCTTTTTATTTTCAAGGTAAATAGAACATTTCAGGGAAGAAGGATGTAATAAGGATTGTCTTGAAAATAAATGTCATGCTGTGAATACCTCACACCTCAGCTGTGTGAAGTCGATTTCTGTAGTGTCACATGGGGATACTTAGAGAGCATTATGTATATATCTGTAATTGCATGCTGAATAAGGCAGGATAAAATTCATTCTATTACAGTATAACTGAAATATAATACTACACCATGATGTTGAAAGTCCAGAAGAGAATTTGTTGTAGGCAGTCTTCTTGTAAGTATGTAGAATATTGGTTAATAGCATAGATTAGGGGTCAGCAAATTAAAACACTTTTTCTCTGACAAATGGCCAGGTAGTAAATATTTTAACCTTTTGAGAGCCAGATAGTGTCCGTTACAGCTACTGAAGTCTGTTGTAGCAGGAAAGCAGCCGTAGTAGATTACACATAAATTGGAACAGGTATGACAGTTCCAATAAAACTTTATTTATAAAAGCAGGCAGAGAGCCAGATTTGGCTCACAGCCTATAGTTTGCTGACCTGTGTTTATAGAAGATCCCAGAAGAGACCTGGGTGGTGTGTGGCAGCCTCACACTGCCTAGGTGTTGAGTGAGTTTTAGGGCAGTGACTGTCCTAATGGTCCGCTTAAAGATTGACAAACTGTGCTGTTCTCCTACCAAAGGAAGCAGTCACAGAGTTCATTGTTAGTACCTAGTTTAATACTCTTTTATTTTTCTTTTCTTTGAGACAGGGTCCCTCTATGTACTGGCCTTGAACTCACTTGCAGTCCAGGCTGGGCTTGAACTGATGGCAATCCTCCTGCCTCAGTCTCCTGAGTGCTGAGATTAAGCCATGTACCTCCATGCCCAGCTAATGCTCTTAATAATGAAGCATTGTATATGCTTCTATATATGTGTAATAACAAGGCATTATAACATGTTTAACCAATAGGGCACTCATAGCTGTGAAATTTCAAACACTGAAAGTGGTTATTCCTTTTGCAATTTTTACTTGAAAAGTCCCTTTATGAGAAGCCATTTTATTAATCATAATCTTAAGAAATATGTGAGGCAGCTGCATTATGTTATCATATGAGAAGAAAACTGACTTGGTCAAAGTCTTATACATACTTAATGATGGAATGGTAAGGCCCAAGCCTTTGACTCTGGGCCTTTGCTGCAAGCTGTAGTCTTGGAGCAGAGGATTTGTCTGTAACTCAGGTCAGAAGTTGCCTTACTTACTAGCAACCTGTGTCAGCCCTTGGGTCTGGTCTTGAATCCATGAGATGAAAGGGGTGTTTTGAAGATGAAAAAATCTGTTCATCAGTGCTTTTCCCCTGAGTCTTATTTTACAGAGCTAAATCATCACTTACTAATTTAGGGAAAAATGTAAAATATGGGTGACCTGGTTTCATTTCAGGTAGAATGGAGATGCTAATCCAGAAGAGGAGAAAGAAAATGAGTTGTTAATACTGTGTCCCCTCAGCTTCGGGGACATGTGTGATTTACATGGTCCAGATAGCTGGTCTGGAATCTCAGATCTGCTTGACTTTTGTCAAACTTTGTCAAACTCCGTTAAAAATGTCCTTATTTAAACAGAAAATAAATATATGCCATGACAAAAACTAGGCTATTTTATTTGGGGAAAATAATTTTAGTCTTCAAAATCTAGTTTGTTTGTAGTAGAACTTACATGAAACCGTTTACTTCCCTACAAATCGATAGTCATGTGTTGCTGAAACCTGGGTAGTATAGTCAGTTGTATGAATAAAACCAGTATAATTTCTCAAAATGGAAATTTTTCACCCCTAGTCATCCACTTCTTTTAAGCCACTCCACCCTCACCCCTCAATACTAGGGATTGAATTCAGGCCTTTGTCCTAGGCTATATCCCTATCCCTTTTTATTTTTGATTTTGAGACAGATTCTCACTAAGTTACCCAGGAAGGATTCAAATTTGTGATTCTCCTACCTTAGCCTCCCAGAGTGTTGGGTTTACAGGTATGTGCCATCATGCCTGGCATATACTTTTGATAATCTTTTTGGTTTAATAAGCTTTCAAGTCTTCCTTTTCCCCTCTTTTGCCCTCAAACTAAGACAGGATCCTGGAAATGTTATGGGTACAGTGAATAATTTTGAAAGAATGCTTTGTTGGCATATAGGGAGGGGGAGGCCTTTTATTTTTATTTATTTATTTATTTTTTA